TCGCTCTTATTCAAATGTTGTATTGGCTCATGTGTCCCTACTTGATCCAAATGTTTAAGGATGTACAACGACGACGTTTCGATGATCTTCGTTGTGAAAGAAGCGCAGTGAATGAAAGCAGAGAACGAGAAGCTCGAAAAGCCGATAGAGCATCGGAAGGTATTGTACATTCGATCTTGCCCGCCGGCGATTCACCATCTCAGAGTTGGAGCTCAGAGATAAGAGAATGAAATTAGCTCCGAAAGTAATATTTCTCGTCAGAGATTCTGAGGGTTTCTCCTCAGCCATTGTCGGAGCTCTTCGCCCTAATCCGCCTTTCACGGTTACAACGCTGTTAGCTCAACTCCCCCTCGTTTTATTTTCCTCCATTGAATTCAAGTAACTTTCCGACTAACCGATCAAATTTTGTTTGATTTGATACAGTGATGAAGACTTTGAGTTCTCCCTGGAGGAGTATGCAATCAAAGACCACAAGGCCTCCGGGAGCGTCGTTCACTATCTCGACGATAAGGGAATTTATCAGGTACTTATTTAGGTTTCCAATGATGTTAGTAGTTGTTGAAAAATGGTTGAAGTTTTATGGAGAATGTCAGCGTTAAGCAAATAATGAACAAATTATCCAACTTCAAATTTCTTAATAGATAATTTCAGCTGGTTTATCTATGGAGTTTACACTTGTGTATTATGGAGTGATTGCTTAATGAGAACTGAAAGAAGGATTGATAAAAAGTATTAGGATTTTATTGTTTTTGGCGAATCTTTAGTATTCTCTTATTTATTAGTTGTGTCCACTATCTAGGCAGAATACCATCCCCATTCTTACTAAGAAACTTAAAGAAACGAAGGGGACTAAACAGGAACAAGAGGGATCCACCGAAGAAGATACTTCTCCTTCCCTTTTTTCGGAAGAAAAGGAGGATCCGGACAAAATCGATGAAACGGAAGAGATCCGAGTGAATGGAAAGGTATGAGATCCCACATCGGTTGGGGAGGATCACGTAGCATTCTTTATAAGGGTGTGGAAACCTCTCCCTAGCAGACGCGTTTTAAAAACTTTGAGGGGAAGCCTCAAAGGGAAAGCCAAAAGAGAACAATATCTGCTAGTGGTGGGCTTGAACCGTTATAAAGTACTAATTTTCATATGAGAGCTTAGCCATGGAAGCATGTGTACTGGTGATGTGCTCCAAAGGAATGCCCCTTGGCTTGTCTCTTCGCCAAATTGGTGTGTGCCGTGTCAGAGGGATGCAGAGACCTTGCTGCATCTGATATCTCCTGCCCATCTGTAAATTCGTTTTGGAAGATTATCATAATGGCCTTCAATTGGGAGATAAGATCACTTTGCTAGAGGCGGTTTTTATTGGCCACCCTTTTATTAAAGAGAAGGAAGTCATTTGGATAAATTTCACGAGAGCCTTTCTTTGGTCAGTTTAGTTGGAAAGAAATCAGCGCAATTTTCAAGGACAAAGCCACTGATTTTGATAGTTTTGAACATATGACCTATATTGCTCTCTAGTTGTAAATTCTCCCAAGAAATCAATGCATTTTCAAGGAAAAAGCTATTGTTTTGATAGTTTTTATGAGCATATGACCTATATTGCTCTCTCTTAGTGTGAATTCTCCCCTTTCTTTCGTAACTTTAGTCCCACTTCTCTAATTGTCCTATGGATTTTGTTTTGGCACATTTGATGCATTCTTTTGTAAAGAAAAAGTTTACATTAAACGCTAAGTTAGGTCTCTCTTAAGGGGGTAGAAGAATTTCTTTCTTTTATTACCATTTGGAATGTGGTATGGTAAAGCTGATGAGTTGTGAGGAGGTTGGTTTATGTGAGATCCCATATCGGTTGGAGAGGGGAACGAAACATTCCTTTTAAGGGTGTGAAAATATCTCCCCAGCAGACACGTTTTAAAACCTTGAGAGGAAGTCCAGAAGGTAAAGTCTAAAGAGGACAATATCTGCTAGCGGTGGGCTTGAGCTTTTACAGTTTAGGTATTAATCAATTGATTCTTGGTCGGAAATTGAACAGAACAGTACCGTACCATTCAGTTTTGCAACTTAGGATTATCGTTAGATATGTGTCAAAAATGTGTGAAATGGTATCGGGTTTTTAACGCTATTTTTTATGTACTTTTATCTTGAGCATATATCTACCAAGTTGCAGAAGACTTCGTATCAAAGATTTTCCATGAATCAGATTTGATCTGGTCTCAAAGTTTGTAAGTATAGAATGTGATCTTCTGGAACAACATTTTACTTGCTTCTGTCGACTGATCTGAGTTCATGCACGTCCCATATTGTTTTTTGCTTAAATTTTCAGGTTTCAGTATTAATCTTACAAAGCTACGAACCTCCAGTCTTGGCATGTGCTGTAGATGTAGTTCTTTCACACATAGCAGGACAACGTTCACCCTCTTCTTTAAAATCAAAACCCACTCTTGTAGTCCCATCTGTTATTACATCCTCGAAGCTCAAGTGGGAGAGCAAAACTAACACTAAAAGTGATCGGACCGTTCTTCTGTACGGTACCGAGGTAGGTCCAGAAACAGATATTTCTCGAACGATGGGTGCCAAAGTCCAGAAACTGCCATCGACTTCACAGATCTATTGCGAACAACTGGCCTGTTTATTTCACTTGATTCGCATCTTGAACATTCCTGCTTTTTTTGTTGTTGGACAAACAGGTCGCAGTCTTTCCAATCAAGCTGCAGGAGAAGAGATTCAGGTACTTATCCCATCGCTAGTAGTTTGTTACACATAGTTAGCCATGATATTATCCAAATTCTGAGCATGAATATAGTTTCTATTCAAATCCCTTTAAATTTCCATAATTAGTACTTCCTCCTCGTCAGTTGGGGGAGGAGAACGAAACATTCTTTATAAGGGTGTGGAAACATCTCCCTAACAAACACATTTTAAAAACCTTGAGCGGAACCCCGAAAGGGAAAGCCTAAAGAGGACAATATCTACTAGTAGTGAGCTTGACTGTTACAAATGGTGTCAGAGTCAGACACTAGGCGATATACTAGCGAGGAGGCTGAGCCCCGAAGGGGGGATGGACACGAGGCGGTGTGCCAGCAAGGACGCTGGGCCTCGAAGGGAGTGGATTGTGAGACCCCACATCGGTTGGAGAAGAGAACGAAACATTCTTTATAAGGGTGTGGGGAAACCTCTTCTTAGCAGACACATTTTAAAAACCTTGAGAGGAACCCTGGAAGGGAAAGCCGAAAGAGGACAATATCTGCTAGTGGTGGGCTTGGGCGGTTACAAATGGTATCAAAGCCAAACACTGGATGATATGCTAGCGAGGAGGCTGAGCCTCGAAAGGGGGATGGACACGAGGCGGTGTGCCAACAAGGACGCTGGGCCTCGAAGGGGGGTGGATTGTGAGATCCCTCATCGGTTGGGAAGAGAACAAAACATTCTTTATAAGGGTGTGAAAACCTTTCCCCAGCAAACGCGTTTTAAAAATCTTAAGGGGAAACTCAAAAGAAAAAGTCCAAAGAGGACAAAATCTGTTAGCGGTGGGTGGGGCGGGGTTGGATTGTTGGTTGAGTTGTTTGTATAGTTGTTTTTTTACAAATTGTTCGTGGGTTTGTTGTCCAGATTGTGAGTGAAATGGGTGAGCTGTTAGCAAACTCCTTGTCCCTCGGCTTTTCAAGAGAAGGAATTGTTTGGAATCCAAAAGAGAAATCAAAAGATGTGAAGGAGCCATGGCATGCATTATATGGGTGATGGTCTGCTGTATTGCTAGCATTGGAAACCTCAGTTGGTTCATGTGGTATACAGTGATTAAATGTTTAAATCTAGTTAAGAATCTTGATTATGAATTTCTTCTTGTTCTTTAATTTACTTTGAAAAATATTTTAATACGTTATTACTCCTTTCCGTTCTTTTATTTATTTATTTATATAGGTGATTGCAATAGGGTTAATTATAAGGTTACAAACTTCAAATCATTATATATATATATATATATATATTACAAGAAATGTTCAAAATAAGGCTAAATAAATAATAATAATAAAAAAAAAACTTTGCTCTAAATTTAAAAAATATATTTGTCTATTAAAATGTTAAGCAAAATTAGGATTTGAAATGGTGGAACAATTATTTAAAAGGTAAAAATTAAGTATAAATTTATTAGAATGTTACTACTCTTACTCTCGTTGGGATATATCTCATTCCTTCTCCTTTTCTCGCTACATATATGGGATATTACTCCCGTTGGGATATATCTGACTCCTTCCTTTGTTCCCGCTACGTATATGGCATATTTTAAGAAGTGAACGTCTCTCTTGGGCCTGGGAAAGATTAAGAAGTGAACTTCTCTCGTGAGCCTGGGAAAGAATAGGAAAGATGATTTTTGGGTCCGGGAAAGAAAAGGAAAGAGGCCCGGGAAAGATTAAGAAGTAAACTTCTCTCTTGGGCTGGGAAAGAACAGGAAAGATGATTTTTGGGTCCGGGAAAGAATAGGAAAGATGATTTTTGGGCCCGGAAAAGAATAGGAAAGCTGATTTCACTATATTTTTTATCAGGGTCCAATATTTTTGTAGTGGGACGATAGCTATGAAAAGACAGATTGCTCATCTTATCTCGGGAGAAATATGGGGGGCTAATTCAAACCCTCCAGTAAAATAAGAACAGCGCCACATTCAAACGGTTTTCCTAATTTCTATATAAAATTCTTATAAATTTCTATGTTAATTTTGAATTTTTTGGTAAAATAGGAAAGTTAATGCTATAATTTTAAGAAAATAGGGGTATTTTGAAAACATTGGGCAAAATTCAAGCATAATTTTGTTATATATATATATATATATATAAAAGAAAATCAAAGCAGGTTATATACATAAATTATAATTTAATAGAATGATTTTCAAACTTTAAAACAAAAAATAACTTATTTATAAGTTTTTATATAAAAATAAATAAATAAATAAACAATCCTCAGTTGAACTATTTGCATTTGAACATTTTGAAATATATATTCATTTTCCCGCACAAAAATGTCACTCCCTTACTTTCTTCCATCTTCTTCTTCTCTCTTCTCCGCCGGTCCAATTCCGATCAAAACTCCGTTCACTCTCTGAATCTCATGAACTCTCACTGCTAAACTCCGAAACCTCCCCAACCCATTGTTCTCTGTAATTTCATCTACCTCCAATGGCTTCCAAGGACCCTGAGGAGGCCGCCAACACGGCCACTGAGGAAGGAAGTTTGGCCTTCAAGAAGAAGCGGGCCCGACGCGTGAGCTTTGCCGACGTCGAGATCACTTCGGTGCATATCTTTAAGCGTGACGAGGACTACGAGACGCCTCTTGAGCCCCAAGCCACTCCCGAGGCTGCTCCTCCGGACAACGAGGTCCTAGGGTTCTTCAGGAACTTGGTTGATAGCGATGATTCTCTTGAATCTTCGCCTAATTTGGATGATGATGTTCTTGGGCAGAGGAAATCGTTTCTGAGACCACTTGGATCGCCGTCGCCGGGGAGTATTTCTGCCGGCTCTGCAACTTCCAATGATGGCATGTTTCTCTGTTTCTTTCTCTCTTCGTTTTTTCTAGCAATTGTTTTTTGTTGGGTTTTACGATTTGAGAGTTTTCGATGAATGTGGTTTTGAAGATATCATTTCTACCACAGTAGATTGCTTTTTCGAAGTAACAATTTATGAACAAGTCAGGACTTCTTTGTAACAAGTTATCCACTTCACTATTGCAGAAGACAATTTTTTTGGACCTGTAGCAGCGAATTTCATTAGACCCAGGCGGTTGTCTGATTCTGCTGCCTCCGATGATAATCATGACGTTACAATGGATTCAACAGCATTTTCAATGCATTTTCGTAGCCTTGCTGAATCAGACTCGGGGAGGGAGCTCAAAACTCCTACGGCTATTCGGTCTGCATTTGGAGAGAGAACACCGACCCGGAACACCATGCCTACTAACTCCGACAGTTTTATGACACTAACGATGGCTGACAAGCTGATTTTGCCATCTTCGCAATCTGGTGATTTGGTAAGAAGTGAAGATTCTAATGCAATGAGCATCGTGGGAGAGAACTCTAATAAATACGATTATGGGAGATTATCTCCCTCTTTCGATGCACTTTTGACTGAAGGAAGCAGGGAACTCTATACTGTTTCGGTGGATGAAAAATTGTCCAAACAGATTGAGACTCGTGAAGTTGATCAGATTGGACAACGCAAATATGATATGGAAATTTGTGAGAGAACCGAAATGGAAGCTGTTAGTAAGGTACTTTATTTTTCTTTGATGTTTGTTGCTTAGCAGGCTTACCTTACTATTATCTAAGGATTGGTATCACAATTTAAACTTTATCTTTTTGCTTAGCAATTGAGGTTGAATATGTTATTCTGTCAGTTGTTACAGCTTAGAGACTGCTCTTATACGGTTGGCACAATACTCACAACTACCTCTTGTGTCGCATTATGTCGGTGATGCGATTTTATGCATCCATCACACGACTCACATTGTAATTGATAATTTTCCTTGTGTTTTGTGTTAGGAATAACGACTCTCCACAATGGTATGATATTGTCCACTTTGAGCATAAGCTCTCGTGGCTTTGCTTTGGGCTTCCCCAAAAGGCCTCGTACCAACGGAGATGTATTCCTTACTTCTAAACCCATGATCATTCCCTAGATAGTATGGTTGAAGATATTTGTTGTTTTGTTTTCACAGGGAATCAACCAATATGCCAAACAGGGAGTTGAGGAAAGTATACTCAACAATGTCACACCCCATGAAGTTTTTCAATCCAATGGTTTGTTACAAAGAAAATTGTCAGATGGGTGGGCTAAGGAAGATTTTCTGATTGATAAGAGGCCTGAGACACCAAGAAGTGTTGACTATAAGCTGAAAAATATATCTCCGCAAAAAAGATCATTTTCTGCTGAACAGAAAACATCTTTGGCTACTTCTAATTCACCTTCATTTTCTGCTCTTGTGACTCCTAACTCGAAGCTGTCAAATTATAGATTGAGTACAGGAAGCATGAAGTTTGGTATGGGTCTGTCGTCCAAGCAGAGAAGTATTCCTAAGTTCAGCCTTCCTGAACCTTCTCCATGTGTTTCGAGTATTAAGGAAGAAATTGGCAGATTAAAATCCAGACTATCAAGTTATTCTTCTATGGTTAACTTGAGTGGTCAACCTGAACGTTGCAAGGATCTTGAAAGCAAATACATAGACATTCCTGCTGTGCGTTTAGAAGAACAACTTTCTAGATTGAATGGAAACAACGGTGAATTTGAAAGTTCATTTAGCACTAGTGGCAGTGTAGTCAAACCTTCAAAAGACTTCCCTAGGCTGAGCCAAAGTGAAGAACCGAAAGGTTTCACTGATGCTGGAGAAACACCAGGCTATATGGCTATGGCAAACTTTTCCAATATGCAACCTAGTGAACCGGCTATAGAATTAAAGTCACCCGCTCAAGCTACCTGGACTGAGAAAAAAGATCTTATGCAACATATTTTGATTTCTGAAGATCATTTGTCGAGGTCATCTACTAGTATCAAAATTGATGACGTGACGGACATTGGACCCGATGACAGAGAACAAAATGACTCAACTAGTATACATGATACACTTGTTTCATCTCCTTTGCGAAGTCCAGATGTAAGGTTATTAGGAAACATTGAATGTCCGTCTGGTAGCTTTGGTGAACTGAAGCAGTGTGACCTACAGGTCAAGCATGTTAGTGCTTGTTTGACGCAAGGTCAAGCTGCAGCTGCAGATACAAGCAATACCAGTCCTTTGACTAAGATTGCTGACAATTCAAGTTCATTGCAATCCAAAAGTGGAGCTGTGTCAGCTTCACCGTTCCTGAAAGGTCAATCTTGGGTAGATGGGGATGATAATGGAGTTAACCTTTCAAATTTGCAGAATAATTTTGTAACATCTAAGAATTTGCAACTGTCTTCAAGAGATGGGAACATCCTGAATTCTCGGTTGGAAAGTCCTGCCAAGAGCTCCTCACCGCAGTTTCAAAAGCCTTGGACAAGTGAACGATCCATTATGCAGGTTATATTCTCTTTCCTTTTCCTTATTAATAATTTAAACAAGAAATTAATTATGTAAACAATGACTGTTCTGGCCTCAAGTTGAGAAAAACTCCCATTTGAAAGTTATCTTATCTGCTGTCAACTTTCTACTGAAATTTAATGCTCACAGAAATCTTTCTTAATCAATTTTTAGTAGATGCAAATAATTTATTGCCTTTAATTATACTATTGGTTGTTCTCTCAATGTTTTGAGTGTTTATATTGAGTTTGCTCGATTTTTTTTTTTTTTTAATCTTAGAGTCCCATCAATGGAATGGCAAACTACAGTCCCAGAAGGATAATTTCAACCCAAACATCATCTGGGAAGAAAGAGCCCAAGGTTTCCATCTCTTGTATGTCGACTCCGAGTCCTTTCAAGAATGAACGAACTCAGAGTTCTGCAAGGGAAAAGCCATTTCAAAGTCCCTTCAGGAATGACCCTTTTAATGAAACAAAAGACGATGGGACCTTCATGAGGAAAGTTAGGGCTTCTCCAACATCCAGTTTGAGTGGACATATTAATCATGATAATTATCAAGCAAGCCACATATTGGTGAGTTCTTCAAGGAAGACCAATCACCGCCTTTCAGGGAGCAAGAGAAGAAACATTGATTTGATAACTCTTGACGGGGATCAGGGTGACAATGACGTAATAGTAAGGACTCAGCGAAGCCTAAAACTTAATCATAGTGGAAGTTGTAATGTGGGCTCTCCGTTAGAAGAGTCCAACCAAATAAGCAATGGAAGCAAGAGGACTGAGGGCAATACACTTATGCATTGGACAGATGTAAGTTGATCGTCTTTTTGGTTGATCAGATTACTTGTCCGCTAGCCATATCTGATGACAGGATTCGTAGAGATTTCTTGTGTTGATTTCATGAATTGTTTACCGTGCATTATCATGTTGCAGATGGCAATAAAGTTTTTAGCAGAGACAAATGATTTGCTACCCCCATCGATCAACAAGTTGAACGCAAAAGCAGTATATTTCCCCTAGTTTCTTCCCTTTCTCTTTTTTGTTTTTTTCTCTCTCTTCATTTACTTGTGAAATTATATAAAATAATGTTGTGATCTTCATTACCCTAACTGATCCTGCTTTTTTTTTCTTCTTCTTTTTTTTTTTTTTTGTCCATCTTCTTTTGTATGTAGATTGAGAGGCTTGAAGATACTTTGGTTCACCTTTTGAAGGTTAAAGAATATGAACTGCTGTGTTCTGAAATCCAATCTCAGGTTTCGAATATTGAACTGAGCTGATATTTTGATATGGTATTATATCATATCAACTGTCCTAGAGGAAGTTTTGGCATATTAACATTGGTCTTGTTTTATATGTAGAAAGTCATTGGGAATCTTGGAGCAATACGTAAAAGGTGATTTGGAAGTTCATCTGCCTATATAAACCAGTTTTTATGTGAATTCCTCATACTCATAAGAATTTGACAGATAACTGTTTTCAACACTCATGAATTGATGCTATCACAGAGTAGTGGAAGCCAGATCGTTGGTGTATAAAGTAGCATATCAGAAGGCAAAGCTTCAGTTGGTTTGTATAAAGCGTGATGGATATCAGGTACCTTATTTTCTGGTGATTTTAGTTTTTGGATTATGAATAACTTTTAACCTCCTTGTACACTTCCATGCAGAATAGAGCACAGTCATTGAACTCTCATTTTGAGGATTTTCAAATGTTGAAGTTGAACTATGACCGCCTCAGGAAATGTGGTTCAAAGGACAGTCAAGTTGACGATGGAAATAGTCTTTCATGCCCAATTGATTCTGAGGTCAGGCATGAGGCTTTTGAATCATAATTCCTTTCATATGGTTGGAGATTCTATTAATCGAATCAATGCGATAGGAGTTTCAAGGTCTCACCATTAGACAGATGTCTTGGATTTGTTTTATGTTGTGTATATACTAGACCTGTAGCCTTGGTATTCTATCTCTAGTCTTCACCCTTAGGTTCATGTGCAATAATAACAATATGGTTCACACACTTAACTCTGAACTACTGCTTGAGTGTAAGGTGTGTATGTGAATTTTTCTAAGATGCTGGTCGAATATCTCTGTTCACAATATTGCAATATTTCAATCAAGAGCATTTGAATAATTTGACTATTGAATGAAAAATGGTCAATCATCCTGCTTACTTTTCTGCAAAATATGGGAGCATAATGTTGACATTTTATACTAGAGCTGTAAATTGGTTTTTCAATGTTCAGGAATTCTCTCTATGCATTTTAGTAGATCACTGAAAGAAAGATCAATTATGTTCTAAATGATCGTTACTAGATATTTATATGTTTTTGTTTGAACACATTTATGTATATCTGTTCAAAAGATTTGTATGGCGAATTATTTCTTGGTGAATGATACAACTAAACTTGTTTGGTGCAGGCGTCCTGTGATAGAGCCAGCATGATAAAGCACGAAATTGAATCTTTAGATGGGAAGATAAAGGGATTAAGCCAATATTTTTCAACATATTGTGACTTGAAAGGAGTAACTAGTTCAACTGACATCCTTGGATTAGTTATTGATCATCTAAGGAAGAGAAAGCTCTGCAGGTCTATTTATCAGGGTTTGCAGGTTTGTACATTCACTAATATTCTTTTTGACCTAATAACATAATTTCTTGAATGTTTTTGATATAGCTTGTTAAACATTATCTATACTTTTTCAGATGTGGAAGGTAGATGATTTTGAGAAAAAGAATGATCATTACACCATACTTCTCAACTACCTTAGTTATGCCTACCAAAGGTTGGGATTATTTCTATTTTTTCTGTTTATTTATATTTCGTTTATTAGCATTGATGATGAATAATATCAGTTAAACTCTGTTTTTGTTCACTGGGATTCTAACTTATAGGATTACAATTAAAGCCAATCCACTCCCGGGTGTAACCATCTTAAATACATTGAATGATACTCATATTGAGAAGGTACAAGATGAAACCTTTTATTTTCTCTACAGCCTTTTACTTATTCCCTTCAATTCTGTTAATACTTTATTTTTCTCTTCCAGAACTTTCCAGAAATGAATGCTTGCTGTGCATTTGCTTTTGTGATAAACGTTGAGAAGACACGGAAGTATAATGCCTCCTGGCATTTGCCCAAAGAAACTCAAGTGAGTTAATTCAACCTGCTTGGCTAGTCTATCTCTTCATGATTCACTCCAACCTTTTTCGCTTTCATTTCTCTTGTGTATCCTTGGTCACTGTTTCTATTTCAAGTATTTTCTGGTCCTATCAGTTTCACTAAAATAGCGCATCTTCTTTCAATTTGAAAACAAAGGTGAATGTACCTTCGGTAGTGTTTATCCGGATTACATATATGCTAGATTCTTTACTTCGTTAACACCTTAACGGTTTAGATTGCAACTCCATATTCATTAATGTTGATGCACTATGCTGATTCCTTCAATATTTTAATTCTCTCTCTATTTACTATACAGATGATGAGTTCTTTTCTACACAACCTGCTGGATGTGATTGCGGAAATGCAGATAGCCCAGATAGAGATTTCAAATCTCATCCTAATAAGATTTTACTCACCTTCAGGTCATGAATCTTTTTGTTACGATCATGCATGATGTTGGTTCTATTGAGAAAATGAAATCAATTGAGAAGAATACTTCGGAAGCAATAATCAAAATCTCAGTGTTTGTTAAACAAAGAGAAAAAAATGGAAAATGAGAAAGTAGAATCATATGGATAGATAAACTTCTAATTGAAGTAGAAAAAAATAGTGATACAAAATGTGTCAAAAATGTGATACTCAAAATGTGGTACAAAACTTGGTGATAAAAATGAATGGCACTAAGAGTGTGATACAAACTTTACGTGAAAGTTCACTCTTATATAGTTACAAAAATGAGCCTAATTACTATCACTATCTTACATTTTTAACATTAAAAAATAGAAATTCATGAAACATAAAAGAACAAACAACTGAAATGTTAGATACAACATCAACTTAAGACATTAATCTGAAAATTAAATCTAACAATAAAGTAAGAAACTTAAAAAAACACAAAACTGGAATTAATCTCAACAGGAGCATACATGATGACCCACATGCATGATTTTCCCTAATTAGTGTTTTTTCCAACGATGTTTCATTTTAAAACACTATTCCAGACAACCTTTCCAGAAATAGTTTGTGTGTATTTGAAACAGTTGCAGCTCCATGCTACATTTTTATGCATGCTATTGGTGTTTCCTACTTATTTTTGCTCCTCAAATTGATTTCGACTTCATGAATAAGCTATGGAGGTTTCATGACCAGAAATTGTTTTCCCTTATGAGAACTTGAAAATCTAATTTCGTTTTTGCTATACTAATAATTTTACAGACAAGAAGCTCGATTTGCAGCTTAGTTTCATCAACTTCCAAAGTGGCAGGAAGGTAAATCTTGTTCTGGACGTATCAGATTTGAGTCGGTAAGCTACAATTTTATCTTTCTATATTTTCTACCGTTGCTCGTCTGAATTGCTTAATTATTTGGCCTAATATTTTACCGGCAAATTCTATTACTTATTACTGATTCTCGATCATGAATTTGATATATGTAGGAATATTAAAATAATCGTATTGATTAATTACTTGGTCTCTTGGCAGAGGGATTTACCCTTCTGAAGTTCTTCCGCATAAGGTCGAATCTCCTGCTTCGAATAAATACACACTCTCAGAGTCAATGTTAAATGACATTAGAGCTGCAGTTGGGAATTTAGATTCTGGATATTCGAGGATTTTAAGAGTTTGTAGATGTGTTTCGGAAGTTGTACAAAGGTCATCAAGCTGATGCCGACAATAGCATTTTCTCTGTATTTCTGTATGTTGCTGGCAGTTCCAGCATGATTGTAAAATCTAGATTTATTCAGCTGTCAGGTATTTTCCCCTTGAAAATACACGGAGCAATGAGAATTTTAGCTAACCCCTTAGGATGAGTTACCTCGTGATTTATGTATGTAGTTGAAGCTTGCAATTTAACCAAATACATCTAAACTTTGAGCAAGATCAATGATGATAAAGGCTGAGATTAATCAATCTTGGTTTCATGACTTTGACGTTTCATCTAATAGTTGAAGTTCATCATGGATGATGGAAAAGTGACTTGTGAGGATCAAGTTGGAGCTACACCACGAGGTTAAAGCTATCAGTGCACAGGCTTCATCAAGCATCATCATTCAAAATTAGGTAATATCTCACGGGCTATTAAAATGTAATATAATGATAGAGTGGATTTTCCTGTTAGGTCATGGAGTTTAGCAACTGAGTCAAAATCCTAGGATCTTATTGCTTGATTTCTTTGTTGTTCTTTGGATTTTAGCATGACCCAAATGCTCCAAATGCTCCAATGCATTATTTATCTGATCATAATATAAAAAAACCCTCAAGTTGGATATGCCTTTGATTTTCTTGCCAAGCCACCCTACTTTGTATTACATGAGGTCCAAATTGGGCATTATTACATAAACATAAATTTGGTAAACAGGGTAGGATCTGCTTGGAACAGCATCTTTGTTTTAATATTATAGTGTTTCTCATGCCATTGATTTAAAGGAAGCCAGCAAGGCGTGGTCCAGTTTTTATTGTAGCTTCACGTGGCATTATGAGGGTGCAAGTGATAATTATTAGGATGGGAAATGGAGGAGAGGCAGGACTTGTGTGTTGGTGACCTCATGTGTTGGGATTGGATGTCATTTTTCAAATTTATTAGTTGGAATTTTAGAGAAAAATGAAATATGTTCTTCTATATTTCTATTTTACTTGTACAATATTGTAGGAAAGATGGGTTTGAAGAAAAAAAAGAGGTGAAATCACTTTGCTCGTATAGCATGTTCTAGGTAAGTCTACGAAGTCTTTCCTCTTTTATTTTTAATGATTTAGTCTCTGTTGTTTAAAAACGCATTAAGTTTTTTTTTTTTTTAAAGAAATCTTTTTTAAGTTCAAAATTGTTCTAATTGAGTCATACGAAGTATACTACCTTTAATTTTAGTTGTGGAGGTGTTTTGTTTATAGGTTGTTTTTAATTAAATTCGAAATCTTTATCATGGTCTTTACATTTCTTTTTACGAGGATTAAATGGTTAGAAATGAAAGTACAAGTACCAAAGCGTAGGGCTTAAGAGTATTTTAACTTTTTTTTAAGGGTAATGTACAATTCAAGCTTATCGATAGTAGATATTGTCATCTTTGGGATTTTTCTTATAGGCTTCCCCTCAAAGTTTTCTAACGTGTCTGCTAAGGAGAGGTTTTCACACCCTTATAAAGAATATTTCGTTTTTCTCCCCAACTAATGTGAGATCTCACAATCCACCCCCCTTTGGGGCCTTGCGTTCTTGCGGGCACTCGTTCCCTTCTCCAATCGATATGGGACCCAATCTACCTCCCTTCAGGACCCAACGACTTTCCTAGCACATTGCCTCGTGTCCACTCCTTTTTGGGGCTCAGCCTCCTTACTGGCACATCGCCTGGTGTCTAGCTCTAATACAATTTGTAACAGCTTAAATCTACCGCTAGCAAATATTGTCTTCTTTGGGCTTTGTCTTACGAGCTTCCTTTAAAACGCGTCTGCTAAGGGGAGGTTTACACACCCTTACAAAAAATGTTTTGTTCTCCTCCCAACGAATGTGTGATCTCACATCTAATCAATTTAATGTTTGTATCTTGGAGTTGGAGTTTATTACTCATACACTTTATCCAAAAAAAAAAAACAAAAAAAAACTATTTTTTGTGTAAAGGTACAGCAGTTCAGTGAGTTTAGGCTAAGATAGGGAAGAGGATTTCTTGTGATATTCAAATGCCCAAGCCAGTTTTTATGGCAAAGGGTATTATGTCATGGCCAACGTTTTCCTTGTGGACAACAAACTCCAGAATGCCTTAGCTCAGGACTAGCGAACTGACAAGGACCTAATATCTTGATGCAGATGTTCTCTTATGTCAAATTGTTTAGAGCCTCCAATAGTATTATAACAAAGACTAGTAGGATTTTGTCTGTTTAAAAGTTTCTTATGAACTTAAATGATTGAAAGACATGAATAGTGAAAATCTCATTCAATTTATATGTTGGAAATGAAAAACTTTCATGATCATAATAGCATAGAATCTCTATTGTATTATTATCACTAACATTCCATCACATCACTAAGCTTTGATGTTGATTGAAATACAGGCTGATTATGAAGTTTTATTATTAGTATTTATGATGTTCTTGTTGAAGTTTCTACTGTACCTTAACATTTTTACTGTTCATTGCCTGTTTTCTCATGTTATTGTTTAAATGTGGATGGATTGTTCACCTAATTCTTTGATTAATGGAAATGTTGATGAGGAGAGTATCGTTGGATGCAGGGATACAATAATGTTGAACAGAGAAAGGTGGGAGGAGGACAAAGCACTTTTGAACACTTTTTGGGTTGGTGGGGTTGAATGCTTCATTGTTGAATCTTTGCTGTCTTTTCTTCATTTGCCAAGTAGGTCTTCGATTCCCCTTAAATCTCTCTCTCTCTCTCTCTCTCTCTCTCTCTTTGAGCTTTGAAGATAGCATCTAAGAAACAGGGTTTTGAAGAAGATCTATTGCAATCGACAATTCGTCTCTCAGTTGTCCTTTTTTTTCTGTACAATTTGTTCTCTTCCTTCCAAACATGATCTGAGATGAGTAGCTTTTCAAGTGGGATTTACTGTTTGTTGTAAAGTTTGAATAATCTTTTCAAATCTGTGATGGATAGGCATAAAGATGTGACATCTTGTTTATCTTATTCATTGGAAGAGGTCTACTTCTGATCCTGAAGTGGTTAAAATCATTTTTGTTGGGTTCATATTCGTCCCGAGCATATCTTTAGTCCTTCAAAATCAATTTTGATGGTACAAAAATTGTGTTAGCTAATGTTAAAATGACTTTGAATGATTGAAGGTACGTTCGGGAGTTATTTTGAATACCTCAAAAGTGATTTTAACTATTTTAAAGCTAAATTCAAGAGAGTGTCTTTTTTTTCTTTTTATAATGTTGAACACTATTTAGGTTGGGTGCTTTTCACTTGGTTTTTTGTGGTTAGGTTGGAGAGTTTTCGTAGTTAAGAATTAGGACGTTGTGGTGATTCAACTGATTTCATTGAGCTTTTATCGATTAGTATTTATGGGTATTTTGGTAATTTAGTTTTGAGATATTATTACTTATTGCAATTGACGAGTATTTATAGCCTATCACAGAAAGGAGCAAGTATTTATAATGTAATAAAATACAAGGTTTCCCATACCTAACTAACTTACCTTTCATTCAATGGTTGATAATCTTACTAAGACGGGTTTTGAGAGATATTTCACATGTAATTACACGTACTTACGATAATAAAGATAAATAAATAGCTGGTTGTTAGAAGAGTACGTTCTCGAGTGATTAAACAAGTTTTAAGATTTGAATTAATTAATAGTTGAAAATTGAAAAATTGGGTGAGAATTTAAAAAATGCATTTTTATTTACCCAAAAAAGCACCCTTTATGATGCATAAATGATTAAGTGGGTGCCTAATTGCACCAAATGGGAAACCAAAAGCTTAGTTTACATTTAAATGTATTGGAAAAGCATACACACAAACCCTAGCGTCTACTATCAAACAATCTCTCATATTCCATTTTTTTCTATGCAAAATAATAATATTAATTTTAAAAAAATTATATTTATAAAAAAAAATCCCGATGTACGATTCATACTAGATCTGATCAACTGCTCATCTTGTCTCAATAGAGTTTTTGAGCTACCAATTCAAGTACAAGATACTACCATTTCTGCCTGGACAATTACACATCCAACCCCTAAACGTAACGACCCAATTACAAGAACAAAGCTTTACCAACTTAGCTACATCTCCCGAACCAAATAGGGCCTGCATGAAAGAGTCAAATCCTTATTCTATTCTTTTCCTTGACGTAGCTAGACCATCTTGAACTTGAACCAGAGACAGACTTCGCATCATGAAGTAAATCATCACACCCACCGTCCAACCAATAGGAAGAGAACCAACATATTCCTTTTCAGGAGCGACTCATATTATATATATATTAAACATAATAAATATAGTCACAAGGGTTAACAATAGTTCAAAAAAAAATTAGGAACAACAAAGATATTAAAATGAAAAAAAAAAAAAAAACTCAATAAATAGATATTTTAATTTTGAAAGATACACTCAACTCAAGCTATATAATGTCAGTAATAAATATATATATATATATATATATATTATAAAAAAAATAAAAATGATTTAAGAATATTAAAAAGTACCCTTTTTGGCTTTTGGCAATTAAATACAAAGCAGAGTCAGAAAAATGGAAAAAATGGGAATTGGCAAAGCACATGCCAAGTAGGTTTTGATGCATTCAATTGGAGGGACCATTAACACAGACTGAGGGCCTAACCTCCTTCATAATCTCTCCCCCCTTTTCTTTTCTTTTTTTTTTTTTTCTTTTAACAATTATATATATATATAATTTATTCACTTATTCTTAGATTTTCTCCCTTTTCCTTTCTGATCTATTTTTTTCATTATCACCTAAATAAAGAAACCTTTTTTTTTAAATTGGGTTATGTCAATTTTCTCCTTCCCATCCATCCCATATCCTTCTCTTCTTCCTCTATCCATCTAAAAGGAGGGATTGAAAAAAAAAAAAAAACCCAGAATCAGATTAAGAGGGATTCTCTAAACTTTCCAGCTTTTTTGTGTTTCTCTTCCTGCAATCATTGATTTTCTTATAATCTGAAGCCCCCTTTTACCGATCTCTGTTTCTGTTTTTCTAGGTACGGTGATTTCTTTCTTTGAACTCTTAGACTTCTCCTCAGTTCTTCCTCTCTTTCTGTTTTTGTGTGTTGTTGTTCATCTTCTTAGCAACTGATTTCTGTACAAATATTGCCTGATTTTGTCTCTTGGGATGTTTTATTTTGTGTTTCTTGTTTGTTTGCATGAGCTTGTTATTGCTGTGTTCTTGTTTGTTCTTCTTGTTTTGATTCTTTGGGCTACTGGGTTGCTTTTGATTGTCTGAATTTGTGTGTGTTTGCTGCTGGTTTTCTCTTTTTCTGACTGCTAATTATGATTTGTAAAGGAGTTAGACGTTTTGATTCATTCAGTCTATGAAATCATTGCAGGAAGCTAACTCTATTTATTGTGGCCATGGTACTCATGGATCAGAATTGAATGTTCACCAAAGTTTTCTTCTCTTCCCCCCTTTATTCTCATGCCCAATATGAATTTGTGTTAATTTCTTGGAGCTGGGGCCATGGGTAGTGCCCATATCTTTCCACATAAACGCAGGTTCTGGTTTCACCTACACATACTCAGTTTTCCAATTATGTGTTCTTGATGAATAGTAGCTAAGATATTTTCCTTTTCTCGATGGTTTCTCTTGATATCATTCTGAATTTTAGCTGATATCATATTTGGTTTTGTTGGGAGGGAAATCATGGGGATGGTATACATTTTCATTTGTAGGTTGGATACTCAATCTTTGTTTAGAGCTAACAGATATCTTAGAACAGCCTTTTTTGGCATTTGTGAAGATTTGGGGAGTGATAATTTGAATTGATGTGATTTTGATCTATTGCAGAAGCTGCATTTAGCTTGTTCCTATAGTTGATTCTAGTTTTGGCTGTCTGGAAGGATTTCTAAGGGAACGGTTCGAAGATCAGATTGTAGTATGGGTTATATGTGTGATTTCTGTGGGCAACAAAGGTCGTTTGTTTACTGTCGATCTGATGCTGCAGCTTTGTGCTTATCTTGTGACCGTAATGTTCATTCTGCTAACGCCTTGTCGAGGCGACACTCAAGAACGTTGTTATGTGATCGCTGTCATTCACAAGCAGCATTTGTAAGATGTCCTGAAGAGAATATTTCACTTTGTCAAAACTGTGATTACATGGGGCATAGCTCATCCGCCTCCATTTCATCTCGAAAGAGGCAACCAATCAATTGTTACTCGGACTGCCCGACAGCTGCGGAGCTCTCATCTATCTGGTCATTTGTTCTGGATCTCCCTTCTGGAAGCGATGCTTGCGAGCAAGAATTAGGATTGATGAGCATTGCCGAAAATAGTGCAGTAAACGCCTGGGGCCCTGATGATAAAGCTGGTCAAAATGTATCTGGTGTCGATGAAACCAACGAATTCTCAAGTGGGGATAAATCGATTTGGTTCGGGTCCTCTTCAGCGCCTCAATATTTATCCAAGCCTCACATTATGGACCAACCAATTACTACAGGTGCAACTTCACCCAAGGTACATAACGATAAATCGTATTCTCCGTGAGTAAATTAAAACCAAAATGGTGCATATGTAGCTTGTAATCATTCGTTTATGTTGTTTCATTCAATCTAAATCCTTCCCATATGGTGTCGTTCCCACGAAATGCCTGTTGATAATCTGAACTAGTAGATGCAGTACAACAAGTTCATAGACTAGACTACGTTCAAAGGACAAGTGAACAAGGTCATAGACTCCTACATTTATGTCTTAATCTTAATGGCCATCGATCTACGTACGAACATCGTATGATTCTCTTTTTTTAAAAACGTTAGTAGGTTGTAAGAACAGAATGTATAAGCAAACTTTCCATTCGAGAAGTCATAGGCTAAAGGTTGTAAGACTCGTACGTTTATGTCTTAATCGTTCACAGTTTTTTCATAAGAATCTTTGCGAATTTCACGCTATTAATATGCAGTTGCACTATCCTGGAACAAAAGGTCCTGAATTCGACATTGACGATGACCTCTACGAGAGTTTGAATATGGATGAAGATTTGAATATCGAAAACTATGAAGAACTATTTGGTGTATCCCTCAGTTATTCTGAAGAATTGTTAGAGAATGGTGGTATTGATAGCTTGTTTAGGATCAAAAGCTTAGCTGCTGCTAAATCTGGTTGCGCTGGTGCGACTGATGCAAAGGTACCTCAATCTTCTTTAATTGCTTATTGAAAGTTAGTCTCTCATTGCTTCGTGTTATTTTTCACCTAATTTTGTGAGTATTAGCGTGCCCTTGTCCTCTTTGGGCTTTCCCTTTCGGGCTTCCCCTCTAGGTTTTTAAAACCTGTCTACTAGGGAGAGGTTTCCACACACTTGTAAAGAACGTTTCGTTCTCCTCCCCAACCGATGTGGGATCTCACAATCCACCCACTTTCGGAACCCAGCGTCCTTGCTGGCACTCGTTCCCTTCTCCAATCGATGTGGGACCCCCTAATCCACCCCCTTTCGAGGCCCAGCGTTGCCAGCCTCGTGTCCACTCTCCTTCAGGGCTTAGCCTCCTCACTGGCACATCGCTCGGTATCTGACTCTAATACCATTTGTAACAGCCCAAACCCACTGTTAGTAGATATTGTCCTTTTTGGGCTTTCCCTTTCTAGCTTCCCCTCTTTCTAACTTCCCCTCAATGTTTTTAAAACGCATCTGCTAGGGAGAGGTTTCCATGCCCTTATAAAGAATGCTTCGTTCTTCTCCCCCAACCGACGTGGGATCTCACGAGCACCTTGTTAGTTGTTTCTCAAAGATAAACTTGCAAGGATTTGATATTTACACACCACTTGATGAGTGCTAAGTTATAACAAGCATTAGGATGCTAGTAATTGCACTTGAGTATACTTAACAATTTCAAGCTCTGAGTTAAGTATTAATACATGTTTGCTCAACATAAATGTAAATTCAGGGGCCGTCAGGTTTAGCTAATAATATGATGCAGCCTGCAAGCAGTAATGCAGCATCAGCAGATTCTGTGATGAGTGCGAAGACTGACCCGATTCTTTGTTATAACAATAAGCAAGAGCATTCCAGTCGATCGTTTTCTGGCATGACTGGAGAGAGTAGCGCAGGCGAACATCAAGACTGTGGAGCTTCATCAATGCTTCTGATGGGAGAGCCTCCATGGTGTTCTATGGCTACAGAGAGTTCGTTCCAATCATCGAATCGTAGCGATGCTGTAATGCGCTACAAGGAAAAGAAGAAAGCTCGAAAGTAAGTATGCAAGTTTTCAATTTTTTTCTTTTTTTTTTTTTCGCTTCTTGACTATGTTAGCACTTATTGAGATTGAAATTCGGAAATATTACCGTCACACGACATAAATCGCCATAAAAACGCTAATGAACTGTCTTGAATGCTGTAAAAACCTATCAAGCTAATGGTTAAAAGATGCTGCAAATAACTCTGATTTTATATTTCACAAAGCTTTTGCATTCTCAACTATTGTTTGATCCTATTATAGGTTTGAAAAGAAGGTGAGGTATGCCTCTCGCAAAGTGCGGGCCGATACTCGAAGACGGGTCAAGGGGCGCTTTGTTAAAGCTGGAGAAGCTTATGACTATGATCCGATGAGTCAAACCAGAAGCTACTGAAAGAACATCAACTTTCGGAGATCACACGAAAAAAGAAAAAAAAAGATTTATGGCTGAAGGGTCCGACATTGTACTCTAATCAACGGATAAATATCTCGATATCCCGGTGTCTGACAGGAAGTATAATTGTATACAAAGGAACCTGAGTTTTCATCAGGTATATGTACAAAAAGCCAGGTCTAATAGCTCTATCGATACAACTCGAAGGGCCAAAATTCTGTATCCATACCACGTAAAACGAACAAAGGATTGCGAAAATTGGCCTCCAAGACGATGTACATTTCCGGGCTGTAAGAAACGGGCATAGTTTTCTTGGTTAACAATCCAGCTTCAGCTCCCTTTGATATGTACTTAAAATTTGAAAAAAGACCATACTGATCATTGGCTGGCAAGGGCTGTGTTCACACCATGGAAGGCACGTCTTCCTCCTTGCTTTTGGCTCTTTGACAAACATGGCTGCACCACATTCACAGTTTCCAGGTAATCTTCATTCCCTTTTTAACTGACTTGTAAATTTGATCATCTGTTCATTTGATGAGGTAGAAATATGCAGCCTGAACAATTATATTTGGGACAATATTGAACTGTTGTAACTTCAAATTTCGTTACCGACCGGAACACGACGATGAATGTATATGTTGCAAAGATTGGTACTACTAGTGTATTTAACCAATTTTGTAGTCCCATTACTTAACAGAGATATTGATAGTTTTTATTCTGTCAAGAGCTCGTACGTTCTTCGTGCAGGATGTGGCGATGGCGTTGGAAAGTCCAGAAGGCATATAAACCAAATCAAGCGTCTATCGTTTTCATGTTTGGCTTGGTTTACTACGTTTGCTATACGCATGTTTTTGATATGGAATTCACTTCTTTCTTTGGGAGACAAATTGAATAAAAGATGAGTTGAGAGAGTATAACGTATCCTAAATCTCTTGCATTCGTTTGAAATCAACCGCTCGAATGAATCAAACACCTAACAACCTCTCGTATGATCATAGTCACTTTACAAACACAATGTGTTGAAGGTTTAGAACAAATTTCTTTCGAGTTTTGACTATTTGTGCAAAACATACAAATCAAGACCAATATGTTCATCTTTCAAGCAATTTGCTCGAAAATCCTACAATATCGACGATATATGCACAGATGAATCGACAACATATTGACGTACCACCAACATCATATGAGGGGAATGGATTGAGGTACTCCTTTGCAGTTTGAAACTAACAAACCAAAATAGAACCGAGCTGTGTCAACATCTATCAATCCTCATCTGAGCTACTGTCTTCTAACATCCTCCCACTGTCCTTGGCCATCATTGAAGTATAATTGATCAGACGATATGAAAATCGAAACCGACAGAAACAGGCACGACAGACATTAGGCTTTGAAAGTAAATCTTATCTTACTGGCATCTTATCCCAATCTTTTAACTTGGAATTGGTCAGCATATAATTATCACGCAATGGAGCCCAAGCGGGTCCTTCGGCGTCCACTGCACCACCTGATGTGTCTAACTGTTCAACATAAAGATGGCCATTTGAGTTTCATTATGGACATGAAGAAACAGATAATATATGATCGTGACTTGACCTGAGCTTCACTCTCTTAACTAACATGCACCCCATCCCCTAGAGCTGTCCATTTTCCACGCCCCTGCATGGACTAGTCCCCATTCCCCATCCCAACCTTTTTTCATAAAATTTTATAGGAAATTTCGTGAGGACATGAAAACCATCCCGACCCCTGCCCGACCCCATGGACATCCCCCTACCAGTCCCCATTCCACTGCACATAAACACGATAATGAAGATGAGGATGCTAATGAAAAAAGCCACAAGTCCGTACGCCTCCTCAGGTGTTTGTCGAAAGTATCATTGCTTGTAAGAGAATTAATAAAGAATTTAACAACAATTGGTTAAAAGCTCCAATAAATTTATCAAATTCTATAGCAGAAAATAACCAACCTTTGCATTACTGTTTGTTGCTGACAAAATTGTCTTGCCCAACACAGAAAAGAAAGCTTCTTTCCTGCGTTTATTTATTGCGTATGAGACGGGATAGAACGAAAAAGTTAAGGATATCGTTCACCTTCAATATTGAGTAGCTACTCACATAATCACAAGTCAAGAACGGAAGAATAAGCGTCTTAATATGCAAACAAAAGCGGGTCTAACAGGGTTCGCCAAACATTAGTAGTCCTATATAAGCCACAGGGGAAAGCATTAGTTGACTAGAAGTACGCGCGAGAGACTAATAGGTCAATAAATTCGAGACACATGCCTTTTAAATCACTGGCTACTTCAACCACACAGATTCCCAATCAAAGTCAGCAAATTAGTAAAGTTGCCAATGATTCGTTAATTAGGAGTTTAACATGTGAGATCCCGCATCGGTTGCAGAGGGGAACGAACATTCCTTATAAGGACGTGGAAACCTCTCCCTACCAAACACGTTTTAAAACCTTGAGAGGAAGCTCGAAAAGAAAAACCCAAAAAAGATAATGTCTGCTAGCGGTGGGTTTGAGCTATTACATAACGTTTTCAAAGGGTTTTCAACAAGGACAATGCAGAAACCACAAAACAGAATATAAGTTGGCATACATCATAGGAATAGGAAAATTAAGCTACAAGATTGAATATAATGCAACATGCAGAAGCACAAAAATTAATTGAATGCTAATTTAGGGACAGCATATTCACAAGGCAAGATAAAAGAAAGTGAAATTGTTAACTTCTGAGATCAAAGTTACGTAAAAGGCCTAATACCTTCAACATCTTTAGCTCTCGAAGGATTCAAACCTTTCTGAGCATGTTGTGCCTTATTGACCTGTATCATATTCAAAATAATGGAATTCAGCGATGAATGCAACATAGATGAGGATGTGACAAAAAAGTTGTCTGATATCAAAATTTGGCTACTTACAGCGTTAAACAACTTGACAACTGACAATCGACAAGCAGCAATACACATGGAGATTACTGTGTTAGTATGATGAGAGATGTAATAATCACCGTTGAAATAAAAAAGAAAACCTTTCCCAACTCAAAGTAAAATCGAACTAGGCTACCTCCTTTAGTAGCAACGCCAATAAGAAACTTTTCATTAGAATCCAAGTAAGTAGCAGGTTTCACATGGCCTTTTTCTCCCACCTACCCTATTCAAACATTTGCTGTGAGACCCACATCGATGGGAGAAGAAAATAAAGCATTCTTTATAGAAGTGTGGTGTGAGACCCACATCGATTGGAGAATAAAATAAAGCATTCTTTATAGAAGTGTGAAAACCTCTCCCTAGCAGACGCGTTTTAAAAGCCTTGAGGGGAAACCCGAAAGGGAAAGCCCAAAGAGGACAATATCGGCTAGCGGTAGGCTTTGGCCGTTACAAATGGTATCAGAGTTAGACACCGAGCGATGTGCCAATGAGGAGGCTGAACCCAGAAGGGTGTGGACACGAGGCGGTGTGCCAGCAAAAATGCTGGCCCCGAAGGAGGTGGATTGGAGGGTCCCACATCGATTGAAGAAGAGAACGAAGGCCAACAAGGACGCTGGACCCCGAAAGGGGGTGGATTGTGAGATCCCATGTTTGCAATCAACAAATTCTAAGCAAAAGCTAAATTATAAACAAGCAAAATCTTTTATTTAAAAGGAAATACCGTTTGTTTCTCTTTCTTGGCCTCTCCTTTAACTTTCCTCTCAGCTTCCTCTTCTGCAAGCTTTTCAGCAACAAGCTTCTTGTTTGCTGATAATATAGGACCCTGCAACACAAACATGGCACAATTACTTTTCTTATTACTTCAACTATTGAAAATAATTCCGACCCAATATAAGATATAAACTACCAAAGTTTCATCAGATATGCTCTTCTTGAGGATACTCCTTAATGCAGCCCGGAATGCTCTACAACCTTCTGTAAACTTAGCTATACCTGGTTGAATATCACCATTTTCATCGTCTTCGGATGGCTCGAGATCTGCATTGATATCCTTCCCTTCCTCTTCACCCTCAGAAAACTCTTCATCTCCAACCTCCTCATGACTGAGCATTGAAGTTTTGGTTTCGTCTCCAATCACCGGAGCTTTCTCGTCATCATCGTTATCATCTAAATTATACTCATGCTCGCTTTTGGAAGAGTTTCTTCATCTTCCTATGAACCTTAACTTTGTTCCCACTTCCACCCATCATCCTCGGTCTTTTCTTGTTCCTGGAACCCATCTTTTTCCTTCTCTTCGCACCTCTCACCAATTCTACTGCATTCCAGTCGTCAACCATGATACTGATTCAAATGCACAGCTTATCCCAAACAAATGTTTCAACAATCTTAACCCCTGTTTAGAACCCCTGAATTTTGATGGATTTTAAAATCAGTGTACTTGGATTCCAAAAAAAATGAAATCAACGGTTTAAGAAAAAAAATTACATGAATTGAGCAACAAAAGCTACCCTATGCCAGTTCATATGCATCTATAGTTTCTTGTATACTCAAGAAGACTCAATGACATTCAATCACACTCAAACTCAATGTTAACTTTCTATTTTGTTTGTCCATTACTGGTTTTTTTTATTGATAACAATAATTTCAATCATTTTTTTTAGAAACCCAAACTATATGTGAGTTTCTCCTTTGCTATGTTCATGTTCTTACACATTTTATCCTTTTTATCTAATGATTCGGATAAGAATGATATGTTTTTATGTTCCTTCGGATTCAATCTATTTTTATCTTCCTCTAATTTGCAACATATTCGTTCTTAGTTTTCTTCTCCGTCGGTGAAGAGAACATACCAACATAGCCCAACGTAGCAACATATAAAAATAAATAAAACCTTGGGGATCTGAAAATGCGCAGCGGCGGCGCAGGTAAGGGGCTGAACCACTGTGTTTCTAAGAAGAAGAAAAACAGATATAATTAACTCTGATTGCTCGAAGCGGCAAGAGAGTGTGAGACGGAGTAGGCAACGACGATTTCGTCGGAATGCTGCGGCAGCTGACAGTGCAGCGTTCGGCGGCAGCTGCTGATACGGCGTCGGACAGAAATATCGTGCGGAGTTCGTCGACGGAGTAGGGTGCAGTAATGGACGGTGAGCGTGGCTGAACGTGAAATAGGGTTTACGAAGAAGAAAAGAAGATGGTTTTAAAAAAAATTAATATTTTTTAATTTTTAATTTTTTAAAAATATGCATGTGGATAAGGTTTATTTATATATAAAAAAAAATTTAAAATCGATTTAATTATTGATTAAATTAATAAAAATATACTTAACTTTTCACTTATTCTAAAAAAAACCTTTAAACTATTAAAATTAAATTTTTAAAAACTCAAATTTAAAATGAAATATAAAATACCCTTAATTTTTTAAAAATTTCATTCATACCTTTTAACTTTTTTTATTTAGAAGTCGTTTCACAATCGCACTTTGATGGTAGCTGACTTGCGATTGTACGGCACTCACTTCTCAACAACAAATGAGTTAAGCATATTCGTTCTTGCGTCACCTACGGTCAAGCGACGTATGCTCGAGCCTCTGACCTCGATCAAGAATAAAGTTTTAGAAAATGAGGGCAGAGAATTTCGAATGAGAGTTTTGAAAGCAAGATTTAAGAAATTGAAATTGATATTATATGGGAATGTAAACAAAAAGGCAACAACAACAACGACTTACTGCATATAACTATCGGGTAAGGGGATATGACTGTCCCGTGTTCACAAATGGCTTATGCAAACGTACTCCATGATGGCAATTTAAGGTAAATCATGTGTAATGCTCGCGATTTACTTGCACGGGATGCAAAATTTATCAGTTGAGTGACACGAAATTCATGTATAGTTCGTTACTAAGCATGTAAGTCATAATTTCCGTCCCATATTTGTCAATAGTTTGCATTTCCATCCTATATTTAAAATTCTTATTTTTATGAATTACTTAATTATTGTATTAAAAAAAAACTATAAATGTATAATTTTGTAATTAAGTTATCCTCGACTTTTGCAATATTTAATTTATTAAATTTTTTATTTTTATTGAATTATGTACGCTCATATATATATATATATAATCAACCATGTTACTTGGTATTAAAATACTTTATTATTAATAATATAATTCCTGCAAAAATTAAGAAAATAATAATAAAGTATTTGGGCTGGACCTCGCGCTTTTAGTGGGCCTTACAAGGCCAAATTCGTTTTCACCATGGGCTGGATCTGCCTCTTTCTAATGGGCTATTGAAAAGCTCTCAAAGAACGGCCCAATTATATATATATATATATATATATATATATATATATATATATATATATATATAT